TGCTGGGAATTGTAAACATTATAACCTCAGTGTTCTTAATAAGTAGTTGCAGTATGTTATCTACACATTATATTGTTTAATCTAGTATTTTAACGATTTGTACATGTAGATATATTTTAATCAACTGCTTAAATAATGAAGTAATTGATTATACAAATCTGTTTTCATAGGTAACAACATTAGGACGCTAGAACAGGTTTTTTAGGTAGTTTAGTGTTGCTGGATTCAAACACTTTTCTAAGAGTGTTTTCAGGTTTTTAAATATTTCAGCCCTACAAATGTTTTAGGAGAAATCGTTTCAGCATTTTACTCTCCTAAACGTCTTTATAGCCAATAGCAAGTTAGGCAGCTAATTAGGAGTCAGATGTTCAGCCATTTTCATGAGTCTGACTCCTAGCACGTGGAGTATTCCAGGCCATTAGCTTGGGGAATGAAGTATCTAACAGTGATATCTTTTTTTTCCCTCCCCTCAGTATCCTAGAAGTATGTGTTGCCTTTTCTTACTACCCTTCTTATCGCTCTTTGTACAGTCTCTGGGCCATATCACTTGTGATGTAAAAGCTAGCCCTAATTGTATTTGTTGCAATTATGAAATAATATTAATATACTTTGAATTAATTCCTCTTCTTTCATCTAGAAATTTGCTTTTGGATACTACAAATTGGTTTCTTTGCTGGTTTTATACATTCATATAGCAGCTGGTTTTTGTTTTATATCTTAATAGCATTCCAGGTTACATTTTGTTTACACACATCAAGGAACCATAATCTTTACTTCTGTGACCTTATAAAGCTTGCAATAATTATAAGGCTTAATTTGACCAACATGTGTACAAGTTGTAAAATATCTTAACGCCTTTCTTTGTAAACCAGTTCCGATCTTAAAGCAATTCATGGATTGTTCTTAACTTCTAAAGTGCTCATGAATTTTTAGTAGTTTTACTGAACTTGTATACGGTTGATTGAGGGTTTTTTTCCAAGCACTACAACAGAAATTGTCTTTTATCAAGAGCTCTTGGAGCATTGTTTTCAACCTTTTGGTCCAGCAGAGAACCTTTTTCTCATTTAGAAATACCCAAACTTTTATTTGGCCAGAGCCAAGGGTGTTTCGTAAAATGCTTTGTTTTCTTGCCATAAAAACTCTAGGAAGCCCTGTTACGAAAGAAATGCTGTCAAGTGGCTTTCCTCCTGCCTTTATCACTGATGTTCAATAACCATTCAAAACTTAGAGGGTCAGGTAAGAGCTTTCTTAATAGAGCAGTGACATTATTTCTGGTTAGCCTCCGATATGTTATATTTGCTGAGAGCTCCAATGCATTTTTCATTTGATTTTATTTTGTTTGTTTGTTTTTTGTTTTGTGGTTCTATCATCTTTTACAGAAGGTAATTTTTTTTTTTAAGTTTAGTTTAGCCAACTAAATGCTAATGGATCCACTGAGAGGTTATTCAGAAATGTTTGCTAATGTGTTTTGCTTTAGGAAAATATCCAGAATAATTGGATTGAGAGTGCAGCATGGCAAAGTGTTTTTCCAATAGCAGTATTTGGAAAATCTTATCTGTGAATGGTGCTGTCTGCTCATTGTTGCATATATGTGTGTGTTTTAAGCTACAACAGATTAAGTGAATACTTCAACACAGCAAAATAAGTACCTGAAGATAGAAGAAGAAGAATGAGGAACTCTGAGTACTTGACATAGTATTTTGGAGCTTCAAAATTGCACCTTTACTTGCTTGATAATTGAGCTTGTTATTTCTTTTTTACCTGTCCTTTAAATATTGATCCTGCAAAGACTTGTGCATGTGATTAACACTAAATGGAAGTGTTCAGGCTGCTAAAATTAGACAGGTTCTTCAGTCCTTGCAAGATTCAGGTCTCTGGTTCCTTAATGTTTATATTCTTGAGATATATTTAATTTATTTTTTTATGCTGTAATGCAAAGCATATTTCCAGACATCCTATTACACTTTTTGTTAGCTTTTCTTAATGGGAAATTTAAGTGGGAAAATTTAACTTTTATTGTGGAGTCAGAGGGAAGGACAAATATTGTAATGAAGAGGGAAAATGAATGGCAAACTCTAATACAAGATTTCATAAACACTACCAACAACAGATACACCACCATATTCACCAACTTTACTGCTATGTCACTTTTCAGTAAAAAATAAAAACTACCTATTTGCTATGAGTGTTCCAAAGGGAATAAAAGATAAGTGTCTTGATTGCTCTAATTTTTAGCGCTGTAGCTGGTGAAATGGTATGAACTATCTTGCAGCACCCTGAATGCCATCAGTGTTTGGTGTTAAGAACCTGATTTATTTCACATTAGCACTCAAGGAGACACATTTGTTTGCTTATGTGAGTTACTGCATTGATAGGGACTGTCAGCTGGCTCTTTAGTTAGTGTTATCAAGAGAAAGCTTTTTTTATGATCTCTTCTTAAGAAATTACCAATAGTGAGGAGCTCACCTAAAACCTGAGGCTTGTCTTCATGCTTACCTGTCTTCATTGCTTTTTTATAATTATGTGCATTTCTCTGTCTGTGTCTGTATATATATCATTCACTATGTACATTCATACTTTTTTCTGCAGTAAGTTAGTGACTACCTAGGAATCAAAATTCTCAGTTGGGTCTTTGCTTCTGTGGGTTGAAAATGTACCTGCCTGGTTCTTGATTTTTTTTAAATTTTTTTTTTTTAATGTACCATATGGTTGCCTCTAGAGAATGAAATGAAAATGTGATAAATGAAAAATTACAATAGTGACATCTGTCTTACATAAGATGTTCTGAAGTCAAATATGTGAAGTCAGAAATAGTCTCTAGGAAGTTCATGTTTATAACTACTACTGTGAATCATCTGTTTTACTGCAAAGAAAAAGCTATCTTCTGTAAATGTTTTATTTTGAATCACTTCTACCTGAACAGAATTTGCTATTACTTGTCAAACCTTGTAAGATATACTTAATTTGTTTTGGTTTTTTTAATTTGCATTGTAGGTTTTGACTTTTGCCTATAAGCATGCATTGGTAAATAAAATGTACGGGAGAGGTCTCAAGTTTGCCACAAAACTTGCAGAAGAAAAGCCAACAAAGGACAACTTGAAAAACTGCATTCAGGTAAGCGGTATTTGGTCAAGTAATGGACTATGTTCATGCTGAGTAAACTTTTAAGAGCAAGATATAAGTCTTTTGGAATTTTTGATACTTTTTACATTTTAGAAACCACTAAATGGAACATTTTATCTTTATCCAGGCTTTGGTAGCTTGCCCTCCATTTTTGATAGTGATTTCGTCTTTCTTTTTCTAGAATAACTCATTTGTGAGTAACTGTCATTTTAGCAGATTTACTTTCTGGAACTTCCTTTGGGGCATAAAAGAGGTAGACAGCTTAGCCAAAGATATCTGCATATTTAAAATCCTGTTATGTTGCTGTTTAACCACTATTATTTTTTACTATTATTAATCATAATTACTGTTAGTGGAATATAGGTGGAGAATTAATGGAAATTATGGTAGTTCCTAGGACAAGATTTTTGTGCACTGAGTTAAAAGACTGTCGATCATAGGGGGGGGGGGCAGAAGTTTCCCCCTTTCAGGACTAAGGAATTCAAAGATCACTAGTTCTCCAATCTGTTATCTTTCTATAACTGACATTTTTAGTAAGATGTTGATATCTGTGCAGTGTTTGTTTAGATTTAGATGTTAAAAAGAATGACTCTTTTTTTAATGTCTGCTTTTTTTCTTCAGCTAATGAAGTTGCTTGGATGGACTCATTGTGCAGCTTTCACTGAGAATTGGCTTCCTGTCATGTATCCACCTGATTATTGCGTATTCTAGAAAATCAACAGTTGTAAAATTAAAATGATTTTATATGGGGCAGGATAGGAAAAGATAAGTTTGACTTTTTATTCGAACGCATGTTTTCATTACTGAATGCTGATTATTAAATTGTGTGTATTTATCAGTAAAGGCACCTGGGTACAGTTAATACCTGTTAACCTAACTCCTATAATTAGGGAGTTTCCTTATTGTGCATCCCATTGCTGGCAATGGATGTGCCAGAACTGCCAACACCAAGGATTTGGAATCAGGTTGGAAAGACTTACTGCATGCATGTTAGGTTCTGAACTGTTACTTTTAACTGCAAACCTGTAAAAGTTCTGTATTTTTTACGATAAACTGAATTTTAACATGTTTGATCTTAATTTCAGTTGTATGAAGGCCTTAAAGCTACTTCAAGAGTGGCTAAACTCTTACTTATTAGACGAAAATAATGGAACACGTGTATTGTTTGCAAGAGTTTACATTTAATTTTTTTAAGAAAAATTCAACCTCTCAAACTGTTACGGTATTTGAATTGCTGATGCATAGGTGCTCTTGTAAATCTTCATTTTGGAGTGATTTCAGACAAACTCAAAAATCTGTGTGAAGCTGAGTATCAAGGACAGACTGATACATGTATAAAAGTGCCAGACAGTTACATCTTGATCGGATATTGTAAAGCTATACATATATGTTTATTAATGTTAAAAGTATAAACCACAGCAGAATAAATGTGCAAAGCTGAAGATCAAAAAAACACTATGTGCACTCTGATACTTTAAAAGATTTTTATAATTAATAAAAATACTGAAGCTAAAAATTGTATTGGTTTCTGGATTAGTACATAAAAAAAACTTGCTGAAAGAAAACACCTTACAAACAAAAGTTCAGTGCAGCCCAGAAGATCAGTGCTTTTTGTTAAAGCCTTGTTACTGACTACTGCTATGAAAATTGTTCCTTCAGTGAAGGGAAATTGGTCTGTTTGAACAGGTCATATGTATCAACCAGAGACAAATTGCCGTATCCTTTGCCTTGCTAGTTTTTTCAATACTTGCAATGCAAAACTTAAATACAACTGCAACTTTACAAATGTAAATGCACATAAGGTGCAACATAATCCTGCAAAGCATTCCAAACTGTGAGGTCCTGCCACTAAATCAAGAATAGTGATAGTTTTCTCTTTAATTTTCTCTTACTGTGGCTTTAAGCAACTTGACATTGGATTCTGGAAATTCTGCTAGAATAGTTGTGTTAAATATATTGGAAAGTTTTTCCAAAAATTCATAGTCTGTAGTAAATCTGAATTTATTGGCCCATAGTAATACTGTTCCTGGCTTACAAAAATACACCATTGTTGCTAGCAGGGGATCCAGAGCTGCATGATGGTACACAACATCAGTTGCCAGTATGAAATCATAATGGTAAGTTGATACAGGAAAATCTTCGTTGAGGCCTTCTCCCCATACCAGTTTTCTCACTTCAGGTTTGTGCATATTCATGTTTTGTGTATTTCTTGAAATATTATATGAGAGATTTTCAAGAACTTCAGGCAAATCGGTAGCTGTAACATGAGCTCCTAAAGAAAACATGAATTTGTTTCAATTCACAGAATCATCAAGGTTGGAAGAGACCTTCAAGATCATCTGGTCCAACTGTGAACCCAGCTCTGCCATAATCACCCCTAAACCATTTCCCCAAGTCCCACATCCAGATGCCTCTTGAAAACTTCAGAGATGGTGACTACACCACCTCCATGGGCAACTTATTCCAATGCCTAAACCACTCTACAGTAAAAAAAATAAACATCTAACTTTAAGGCCATTTCCTCTCATCCTTTCACTTGAAACATGGCAGAATTCATAGATAAGTAGTTAAACATATATAAAACTTTATCTGCATAACTTCTCCAGCCTCCCCCTTGCCAGTAACTAGGGTAGTTAACAAAAGAGTTTTTTACAGTAATTTTCATTAAAAAAACCCAAACAACCAGTGATGAAGTTTATTTCAATTGTTTCATTTCCTTAAAGTCACAGTGGCAGGACTAAATCATCTTTCACAGAAAATCTAAAAGAAAATACAAATTTACCAACCTAAGATACAGGCCACAATGGAAAGCAAGCCTGTTCCAGCACCAATTTCCAAAACTTTTTTGTCTTTGAGGTTGAATTGTTCTTGATTTGATTCCAGATATTGAGATAAAGCCAGTGCCTAAAACGGTTAACACATATCCGTAAGAGGGTAACAGCTAAGTTGCACAAAAATTCATTAGATGTTTTTATGCAAAGGTGTTGGTTTTTTTAGTACAATGAAAAACACTGAAGGGTGTAACATAAAAATGTAATATGGAAAGAATTGCGATGTTCTGTTTTTTTATATTAAAAAAATTAAAGCAGTTTATTTTTAATTTACTTTTATGGGATATGGATTTGCTACACATTTCTATGTGAGTCTTCTGACAGCTCAAGATAGGCAGTGGTAAAATGTAAACCATACAGTCAGAGCACCAAACGAGATTTAACAATATGTAAAAAGTAATGTTCTGGTTTATGATCATAAATGTTATGCTTTATTATCGCTATTATCAAGTAAATTCAGACTTCAGCAGAGATTTTTTGGAAAACCTGTTTTTGTTTCAATTTTTTTTAGCAAAGGAAATATTAAAAATTTATTTACCAACTTGACACTTGTCTTGGTAATCATATACACTTTAAAAAGGAAACAGCACTGTATGGAAATATTGTTTATCAGGCCTTTGTAAAGATCTTATCAATAGAATATAAAGGGGCTGTTTATAAACAACATAAACTGATGCCAAAGAAACTGTCTTCCCCCTTTTGCTTCTCTTCTTTAGAGTTGTGTTACTATTTTAATTCTTGTGCTTTTCATAATGCAACACTGTCTACCTACTCTGAGAAAGCTGACAGCTAATAAATCACTAGTCCAATTTGTGCAACCTCTCCATTTTCTTGGATAGTTGTACCATCTGCATTCTGACACCTGATTAATGTGCGAATTGATGATCAGACATGTCAAAATAAGATACTGCTTCACCCACACATATGCTTTCTTCCTATTGTTTTGAAATTGTCTGCCATTTTTTTGTGAGCTTTTTAAATAAATGTGGATCTGAAAATTTTGAAATCCTAATTTTCATGTCTTTATCGTTGACCCTCTCTTCCCTCAAAGGCAGTTTTCTCAGTCCATGTGAAATTCTGTTTTTAAGAGCAGGAGAAGCAGAGATTGAAGAACTGTTTGCAAGTGTGGTTTTCTGTACTGCGATGGAGCTGTTCCAGCCTGTTCTTTAAAGGAAGCATGTTTAATTGTTATAACCTCCTTTATTTAATCTCTCACAATTTTCTTTTTCAGCCTCCTTTTTGTACTGCTGATTGCTTACCTCCTAGCAGTGACTGATTGGAAACATGAAGGAAGCTGAATGCTTCTTCCTGAGTTCCCTTTCTGAATTTTTTTGAACGCCTGCATCCAATTTACAAATGCTTAAATGCCATAGTCCTTTTGGTGTGAACTGGCAAATTTTACCCTAAGGCAGAGCTTTCTGCTGAAGGTCTTTGTCCTGCGTAGGGAAACCTCCATTGTCGGAAGTATCATCTAAGAAAGCTTCCTTAATGTTTGCGTGCTGCTATCATTGTTTACTCTTGTGTCCTGTCAGCCTTCTGCCGTGTCATGCACTTACCCCCGGCCATACCACGGCTCCAAAGTGTTCTATGGACTCCTGAATGATGATCCGGTGGCCAACGTATGTATAGTGCTCTTTATCGAAGTAGTGCGAAACTCTAGGAACCCAGTTCTGCAGTATTTTGAGAGTTACTGGTGAGCCTGTGAGAGAAAAGTTGAAATTGGTGTCTTTATATGCAACTTGGTAAAAAGTGTCTTGCAAAAATAGTGTGTGGGCACACGGACTAGAAAGCTGTCAGGCCATTGGCCTTGAATGTCAGAATCATTAAGGTGGGGAAAGATCTGGAAGATTGTTGAATCTAACCCTTAACCAACGCAGCACCTCTGTGTTCATCACTAAAACATGTTCTCAAGTGCCATATCTTTTAAACACTTCTGGGGATGGTGATTTGATCGCTTCCCTGGGCAGCCTGTTCCAATGCCTGACCACCCTTTCAGTGAAGACTAGCTGCTGTCCAAAAGCAGACACTCTGGCTGACCAGGTAGTGAAAGAAACAATGGTCATTTCCTGCCATTCTGAGTGTTCACGTGGGCAATTTACTAAATCAAATATAAAGTTGTTCTAATTACAGCTAGAAGACTTTCAGGCCCAAGTTACCTTGTATTTTGGGGTAAGATAGTTCATATTGAGTATGAAGATAGTATGTAGGTGTTTGTGCTGTAGATTTCATTTGTGGGGTCAACAGCTCTAGAACATCAAATGTCTTTTTAAATAAGAAGTGTTTAGAATTTACCTCTTTCATTGAAGAAAACCTAACTCTTTTTAGTAGTTGTTTTTTAAGCATCCTTCCACAGAAGGAGAGTTGTAAGATACTCTTTAAGTATGTGTTGACAAAACAGCGTGGTTCAGCAAGTCAGTACTATGGCTGTTGCTAGCGTGTCTCATCATAGCAAGCAGTCTCATGGGTGAGGCTTTTCAGAAGAGCTGTGCTGAACTGTTCCATCTGATCTCACTGAAAACAAGGACACAGATCTGAACGACTGTACTGTTGCTGGAAGCCTGTTAGCAGGATATGCACAGAATTAACCTTAACTGCAAAGAAAAATTTTGCTCTGGCTAGCATGGATTTTAATTGTTGCCTGCCAGGAATCCTTGGTAGCTGTTGGAGCAGTTTGGCCTGTTGAAATTTGTAATACCACAGCTTCAACAGTGCCAGCCCAATTTATGCATATTATAATCATATCTCTGATTGTAATTGACAAATAATTCTTAGATGTCCAAGTAAAATTCAGAGACCTTTTTAAATATACATCTGAATTATGGAGAGAGTAATTTTTTTGTAGATTTGGTCTGATAATATATGCAAACATAAGGAGAAATGGGAAAATTGGATGTCAAAAGGCAAAGTGACATGGTGACGTCTACTATTTGAAGACTGACAAAAATCAAAATATGAACTGCTAGCATGCCATAGCAATTGCAGAATTTAAATGGGATTAAACCTGTGTCAGATTCTGCATGCTTGGAGCTGCAAGTGCAGTTTTCAGAGTCACACTGCTCTTCACAGGTTTCTTCTTCCTCAGATTGGCAGTCCATTGCTCTTTGAATTTTGTTGGGAAATGGTGGCTGCTGTGCAGAGATCATAGCAGAAGAGCTGAAACAGAAGGGGGAAACTAATGTAAAATCTTGCAGGCACTCTCTTTGTATGAGACATGACTGGAAGAAGACATGAGTAGTTTGGGTGGACTTTGGTGGCCTTTTGGGTTTTTTTTTCAGTGATGGTTTGAAGGGACAGGATGACATGTGATATTCCCACTCCACTGAGTGTTATGACCACTTTCTGATAATGCAGTAATGCTGTCAGAATTTTTATTTTATCATATTTATTATTGTGTTTATTTTAACATTTATACAGAATCTTAGCATTATGTCACTGAATTGATACCACTAAGCAGTCTGAAAATTGAGCTACTTTTATCAATTGAAGCAATAACTGAGAAAGATAACTGTCTTTTAACATCTATGACTTTTAATCTGTGCAATTTACTGTTTTCCAAAAAACTTGGGACTTGGCATTCCTGAGATAAAACTGTTTCATTTACTGCAGCCAGTGCTCTTGATTTTGTCTCTTAGCATCCAGTTGCCTTCTCTTCCCTGCCTTTTCTTGCAGAACAGCTTAATGAATTACTCTGAAATGTAGTGAACTGCAGAGTATGCAGATAGCAGTCAGGAAATCATTGCAGTGAGCAGTTTGAATCCGTAGGGCTTCTTGGAGAATTGTGTGTGTTGTGAATGATTGTGCATCCTCAGTGTACAGGGCAGCACCCAGCCTAAAAAGGAACTGATTGATACCAACTAACATCAGTAAAAGCAGGAATGGGACTGGATCTAAATTGCCTGGGGAGTAATATGTCAGTGACACTTCTTGCTTGACTAGAATTTTATTCAGTGAAGCACCAGCATATATCTGTGTGTGTAGATAGACAGAAAAATAGATAAGGTATACACACACAGTAAAGAGCAAAAAAATGGTTCATAACCTGCTCTGGCCAGAGGTTGTACAAGCTCACCCTTCCCACATAACCTGACAGCTGGAGTGAGCTATGTTTTTGTCCATGATGAAAACATTTATCCATTCTGCTCATTCTTGAGACTGCATATTTGCTCTCTCCAGCCACAGGCACTGCAGACTAAGCATTGTATAATTTGGGTTGCATCATACTGCGGGAGGCTGTTGTGGATATCCTGACCAGAAGGGGTAAATGTTTGGCAGTGACCAAAAAGTTCAGCAATGCCTGCAGGGTAGTTTTTTAAGGAGCAGAGTACCCGCTGACTTGTGTGAGTGGTTTATTTGCACATGATATTGACACTATTGCAGTTTTACTGATACCTGATATATTCCTTATTGCTGCTCTGTTTATTCACAAGGATGGGATTTAGATTCCTATTCCTCTGACACTGCATTTGCTCAGTCTTGACAGCAATTTTGTACTGTTTCAGAAAAGAGTGCTTTGAAGGAAATTGATTTCTGCAGATTTTGATTTTCTTTTCTTCAGAGGCCCTCCATCTGGCTAGTAACAAATTCTGGCTGTGCACTTTTTGCGTGTGATTTCAGATGTGATGACAGTATTTAAGAGGCTGAAGTTAATGCTGCAGTTACGGCATTCCCTGACGAGTGAATTCATCCATGTTCACAGGTCACACATGACATTGTGCCTCTTTCCAACGACATTGGTTTCTCATGTAATCAAAAGTAGACTTCTAGTTTTCAGCAATGCCTCCTTCATGCCTTGAGCTAGAATAAAATCTGGTCATGTTTTAATGTTTTAGGAAATCTCTGTGAAAAATAAGACTTGGGCAATTGGGAAGGTACATAATGAAACGAGAAGAATCTGTCAGAACTGGTGATGGCTAAAGCCAGAAAACAGTTGGTTAAAGACCCAGTCTTCTTAACATTTCATGCTGAAACATGCAGAGCACTACATTGTCATATTCAGGGAGTTTGGAATGAGTGTTTTGTTTTGTTTTGGTGGGGGTTTTTTTGTAAGGGTCTTGTAGCATGAAATTTGTGCTGCATAAATGAAAAAGCCAATCCTGAAATTAAACAGCAGGAGGAAACTTTATCTTGTCCAGTACTTTTCCATGTATAAAACCAGAAGGGCTTGTTTAATGAGTAAACTGTAATTTGTCAGCCTGAGTAGAAAGTAATCCCTCTGTATTTTTTTCCTTCCTTAAACGAGTCACTGCAACAGGCCACAATTTCAGTTAGCTGTGGGTAGTGGTGAATTCCAGAAAACAGTTTGAAAACATGCTTAATAAATACAAGTTTGTTGATAAACACTAGGCACTCTGCATTTGTATGTCATCTAACACACTGGGCTCTGGTTTATCACTGGGGCTTCAAGATGCTATATTAATATCTTATCATAGGTGTAGCTTTTGCTAAACAGAAAGCAGTTTATATGTGTGTGTATATATATATATACACATTCTATTGCCATAATTATTATGTTATATATTTCATAGGAGTTAAAAGTATGGCTTGTTTTTTTAGCTGCAAACTACAGGACAGTTTTAGTCATATAAATTCAAGAATTCAGGAATATTAGTGTCTTGGCCTTATTGATGCACAGCTTTATCATTTTAAGTGGCAAACTACCTGAAGACTACAGGCGAGTATTGAGAAGCTATTTGCAAATAGGTGGTTGTATTTTTACACCCTCTATATGTAATATGGTCAAGTTGTTGATGCGCTTCAAGAATTATAAAAAATATTTCTTACTGTTTTGATATTTTTCTGTTCCATATTTTACTGAAAACTATATATCTCTAAAAGAATTTTGATTTAATAATGTTGCAAGTAAAATCTGTTCCCTTTGAAAGTGTTGGCTTTTTCTGAATGTGAGCAGCCAGTTTGTTTCCAAATTGATCCTGTTGGGAAATAATCATCTAAATTCTTTCAGAGTTTTAAGACCAGCATTGACTTCAGTAATAACCTTAAGCTGTTGTGAACAAAACTTACAAAATCACATTTGATTTCTTCAAAACCTAAGGAAGAAAGAATAATTCATAAAATTATATCTATTTGACAATACCACATAGAATTAACAAGGTAATCAAACATTTAAGGGCAAATTCTAAGATGATGATAAACCTTAAGGTAACACAGTTTATCCCCTATAATAATAAACTTTGTGCCTCTTAAACTGTTGAAATCCATTGCTCAGAAAGAGCTTTTCAAATCTAGCTATGTGGCAAAAAAAAAAAAAAGTAGATTATTGAGTGGTAATGTAAACACAATTCTGCTGAAATGTGTTTCTCTCACCTCTACACAAAGTTGCACAGTGTACTCTGGTTTAGTCTGAAGTATTTGGGCAAAAGCCAATTTCATTTGCTCACATGGGAAATGTAATTACAGTGTGTTCTTTGCAAGACAGGGCTTAACCGTAGACTCTTACCACACAGTAACATCTGTTTCTTAAGGTTCATGCAATTTTCTCATGTTATCATACATTACATTAAAAAAAAAAAAAACAGTATAAATGCTAGGAAATAAAGAAAATGCCAATGCTAGGAATATCAGTATAAGAAACTTATATGATATTTCAATCCACAAGGTAAATGGACCCAAATACTGAAAACCAGCAGTGACAGTCAATCCTCACAAAACAGAAAGGGTTAGGAAAGCTGGATTCTGTTGGCAAACAGAGCTGACCTGAAATACAAGAATTCAGGCAAAGGTAATTCTGTTGTTAGTTAGCAGAGAACACAAAGGCATGCCAGATGAGGTTAGCTGAGCAGCTGTGTGGGTACCTGATGTGACGGCACGGGAAGTTTCCTGTGGGTGGATGCATGCTCCAGAGGTTTTTTATACAGGCGTGCACCTGAAAAGAATAACTCTCCTCTCTGGCCAGTCGGATTGCAGGCTATTTAGAGTAACATTACCAGGCAGCGCTCAAAGAACTTAATATGTTACACTAAACTCTTCCACATTTGCAGTACAAAATGAAAACTCTTTTAGACTTTGAAGTCCCAAGCATACTAACCTTCAGAAATAAGGTTCAGTTTCCTCCAACCTCTTGTTCTGTTTTTGCAGATGGAGTGTTCCCTGTGTTTGCCTTAGGTCAGCAGAGCTGAACCAAGCAAGCAACTTACTGTGGGCAAACTAGAGCATAAATAACATGTGTGGCCACTTGGCAGCAGCCCGAGTGCAGAGAAAAGTTTGTGAAGCTCCTACTTACTGCCAGGAAAAGGTCAAGTCTTACTTGCCCTGCTGAGTGTCTGGCTGGGGAAGCTCTGGGTACCCTCCCCTGTCCTGAGTCACAGAGGGTATAGGGAACTGACATTCCTAAGGAAATAACAACTTTCCCACTGTCTTTAGTGCAGGTCATAACCACAGGAGATATTATATCCACTGAAAGAGAGAGTGCAAACCTGAAAATACCAATTTCATCAGGAAATCTTGCAGTTGCTTTTTTTTAAAACAGGTGGATGTTGTAGATGTTGGAGATAAATCAAATGTGTATTCCTTTCATGGTTCAAGAATTTGAGAGGCTTATATGCATTTATTCCTTTGCTGCCCTTCTGCCTTCCTTTCTCCTTCTTGGAAAAGTTTCTGTGGAAAGAAATTTAACTAGAAGACAGAAAAATTTAAAAGCAACTTTGAAAGTCATAAAGCTAGAAAACAACCCCTGGCTAATTAATGAACAACTGAAGGCTGGCAATAGAAATGGGGGAGGTGGGAAGAAATGTAGATTTTTAACTCAATTTATAGGCATCTGCATTTTTGGATGAAGAGCTTTTGAATTCAGGTAACGCTCTCCTGAGGAGTGGCAAAGGGAAAAAATGAACCTTTCCTGTCACTGTGGCTGTTTCACGCATTAGCTGCTGTTTCTAGTAGTCACACCAAGTGTAGGAGACACTTGGCTCTGCATTCAGATGTTCACCAGTTTATTTCCTCTGAAAGTTTATAGTTAAAAGATACTTTTTAATTTATACTTTGGAGCTAGTATTAAGATATTAACTGTATTAGGTTGATATAAACATTCCATTTCACAGACCCGCCTGACTTTACAAGTACTGCAAATGAGTGGTCCTGAGCCACATCCTGTTATTGGAAATAAAGGAGCAAATATACTGCTGTTGGAATGACTGCCATAGCTTTTGTTAAGATGTGGTTCTTCTTTAACAGGCATGTTCCCACTGTCATATTTATTGTATTTGTCACCAGGGGTGAATGTAGCTCAGACTGGTGCTGCTGTCAAAGTTGTGTCCTAAGCTTTGGCAATGGGATTGATGCTGGACATAAACAGTTTATTTTTTAAATTAAATCAGAGGAACTGGCTTACTCTGTGTTATATCTCTTTTAAAAAGGATGCCAACTGTATGGACAGTGTTACAGCTTATGACTGATGCAGGCGTGGCTTAATTTCTTGTTTATAACTGATAAAGGGATCGACACTAATGCTCTGAAATGTAGTGTTTGTTGACAAAGATTTACTATGTAATTTCTATAAATACTTCTTGTTCTACACTCTATCTCCAAGCACTTCTTTAACATTGAAAATGTGTGTTGTCTGGAGGGGTAGCCCCATGGAATTAAAATTTCTCCTGACTTCCATGAATAGTAAGGCTGAGGAGGGTACAGCTCCTCAGTTCTATGCGCAAAAGAGTGATTTTCAGTTATTAACATCAAATTCCACAAAGCTCTGGATTATTCAATTGGCTTTTCTGTTTCTCAAAGCACTCATGGGAATTTTGCCATTGGTGGAAGACAAAATGCAACAGGCTGAAAAATGCAATGAAGTAAAGCAAACTTCAAATATTTTTAGAATGTGTTTATTTTTAGTATGAATTGTGTAGCTTGGGTAGGTTTGGGGGGGGTTAAGCCCGCTTATATGAAACCTGATTGGTAGTGTAGGTAGTGTACAGGCAGAGTAAAACTATACTCATATTATTGGATTATAGATTACAGTGATTTAAATTTAAAACAAATTTAAAAGTTTCTCTGCTGTTGAAGGTAACAAGTTCGATGTAAAATAATGTAAAATTGTTAAAAATTCAGTTAGAAAAATTGCGAGAGAGAGGTAGGAAAATGTCATGGTCATTTAACCTTACATCATGAGCAAGAAACCTGCCAGATTTGTACCAAAAGAAGGCAGGGTTAAACCAGAAAAGTTAAAAGATGTACTTGTCAATGAATTTAATAGTAGCAGAGCACCAGGATCAGATGGTAGTTACCCAGAACTCTGCAGTAAAGTTACCAGCTCTGAACCAGAGCATGGTGCCTGCATCTGAAAGTAGGCTTGATATCAAAGCACAGGAAATTATACAAATGTGAGGTGTACGTCTAAGGGGGTTTTGGATGGATCTAGGGAACAGTGGAGCGAGTGAGTCTGACATCTGTGTCAGGGAAACTGAGAAGAACGGCAGTGTTGGTGTTAGCTGATAAGTAATAGGCATAGGATGGGAAAGGAAGAAGGTTTTATATGTTCTTTGACGGTATCTACAAACATGTAGTTTGGGGTCCTCCAGTTTACAGCATATGTGAATTTCCACAACCTTTTCAAAGGTCACTAACTTAAGATCTTTACAGGAATTGAGCTTTGCTGGGATAAGGAGTCATTTTGCTTTTTTTTAATAATTTGTTAACAGCAAGAAGGCAATAAATGGTCAGGTTTACAATGACCCAGGAGCAGCTGTGCTGCTGAGTGTATTCGTAAGAGTTAATGGGAAGTGTAGAAAATAATGTGATGAAAATAATGCAGAATTATTCAAGACCGTGAAAACAAAAATAAGCTGCAGAGTTCCAAAAGGATCTCTTGACATGTTACGAGAGGTGATAATATGATAAATGAAATTCAGTGTTGACAAGTATAACATAATACACAGAGACAGCCTCTAACCACCTGGGAAAGAGATCTTAATGGCACCAGAGACAGCTATGTAAAAATACCTCTGCAAAACCACATTGTAATCAAAAACATAAAGAGATTTTTGCATTTATAAGGAAAAAAGCAAACAAACCAGGAAACAAAAAACAATGGAAAAGAAACATTGTTTGTTCCACTCTAGGAATTCAGAGATTGTCTCATGTGCTCAGTGTGTGCCTCAAGTCCTTGATTAAAACATTCAGGGTCCTGAATCCTACAGAGTTTGCTGAAGTGGGTGATCAGGCAAATGACTGGTGAAGAATGACAAACTCACAGCTCTAGAGTATATTCTCCTCATCCTTATTGCTGGAGGCATCTGCTGGACTTTTCTGGATGTGGAAAGCAGGTTTGCATTCTCCAGCTCACAGGGACTTCTTAACTGCAGTTGGCAGCCAGCTAAATGTCTACGGCATTGTCTTGACGTTACCTGTGCAGTTTGTTCAAGTACAAACAACTAAGGGAAACTTCCTGGTCAGTGTCTATGACAGGCCCCTGATCAAGGCGACCCTACTGATGAAGCCTTTTTGCTCCAGCTATAGGAGGCATCGAGCTCATAAGCAGAAAAGTGCTTCCCACTGTTAGCAAAGATCAGGTTCGTGACCACCTGAGGAACCTGATTGTGCATAAGTCTATGGGACCCAGGAGGTACATCCCAGAGTCTGAGGGAATTGGCTGCTATAGTTGCCAAGCCTCTCTCCATGACATTTGAAAAGTCAGGTGAAGTCCCAGGTGACTAGAAGAAGTGAAACGTTGAACCCACCTTTAAAAAGGGTAGGAAGAAGGACCCTGGGAGCTACTAACCTGTCAGCCTCACCTCCGTGCCTGAGAAGATCATAGAGCAGATCCTTCTAGAAGGTATGATAAGGCCCGTGGAGAACAGGGAGGTGATTTGGGATAGCCAGCATGGCTTCACCAAGGGCAAGTCCTGCCTGACCAACCTGGTGGCCTTCTGTGATGGAGCAACTACATCAGTGGACAAGGGAAGGGCTACGGATGTCATTAATCTGAATTTCTTTAAAACATTTGACATGGTCCCCCATAATATCCTTTTCTCTGAACTGGAGAGAGATGGATTTGATGAGTGGACTGTTTGGTGGATTAGGAATTGGTTGGATGGTCACAACCAGAGGGGAATGGTAAAGGGCTCAGTGTCCAAATGGACATTGGTGATAAGTGGTGTCCCTCAGGGGTCCAAACTGGGATCAGTGTTACTTAATATCTTCATCAATGACATAGATAAGGGGATCGAGTGAGCCCTCAGCAAATTTGCAGATGACATCAAGCTAAGTGGTGCAGTTGACACACTGAAGCATGGGATGCCCTCCAGAGGGACTTGGACAAGCTCAAGAAGTGGGCCTGTGGGAATCTCTTGAGGTCTAACAACACCGAGTCCAAGGTGCTGCACCTGGGTTGGGGCAACTCCCAGTGTCAATACAGGCTGGAGATGAACAGATTCCCATCCCTGGAAACATTCAAGGTCAGGTTGGACAGGCCTCTGATCAACCTGATACAGTAAAAGATGTCCCTGCTCACTGCAGGGGGGATTGCACTAGATGACCTTTAAAGGTCACTTCCAACACAAGCCATTCTATGATCTTTGGTGTTTGGCATTTTCTTATCCTATTCCTTATGGCTCTGGAATGACTCCTTAGCTTGAAGTCACTAATACCCAAAGTTAATTGTGGTGGCTCTCCTAAACAAGGGCAGCTAAAGGCGAAGGATAACACTGAACACTGAATATGATCCTCAAACCACACACACTGTTTTCATTGTTTTTAAAATAAGAAATCCTTTCTTATTGGTAGAGACCTCCTTTTGCTCGCCTAGCTGAGGTAACTCAAGGATGGTGACTCAACCACTTCCCTGGGCAGTCCGTTCCAGTGCTTTACAGAAACCTTTTTATTTTTTTTCTTTAATTGATTAAATGTTTCATGTTAAGTTAATCAGGCCTAACCTTATTTTCGCATACAATCAGATGACACACATCTCAAAGAAGGCAACAAAGCAGATAACTCTGGAACAAGTTGTCTAGAGAAGCTGTGGACGTCCCATCCCTGAAAGTGTTCAAGGTCAGGCTGGATGGGGCCCTAAGCAACCTGGTCTAGTGG